GAAAGGGGATGGACGAAATTGGGAGAGAAAGAGGGAGTTCTTTTGTGGTTTTTGTTGTATAAGGATAAACCAAATAATGAATAAGAGATAAACACACTCTTATTTAATTTGAGGCTGTTTCTTTTCACACAATAATATTCACTATTATTATATGAACTAGACTCCTAACACACACTCAAAAGTAGCCAACTTTAGAGATATTTCATTAGGAAATGGAGAGAATTAGCTTCACACCAACTCAAATATTACTTCAAAGAGTAAAGAAATGGAATACAATGAATGAGTTTTACAAGGCCATAGGGCCGAAATATATAGGCAAAACAGCAAGGAAACTTCACCACTCTTTCCTACAATTCAAGTGCATAATGTCTATTTGATGGATCCCATAGGTTGTCCTCATTGATCAAGGCTAAAAGGGGTACATGGTGGTGAAATGGGCTGTCTTTGGGTGGTGAAATTCGGCCATGTGAAGGGTAGGGTGAGGGAGTGTGTCATCTTGTCCATTTATGCAAAGTAAGGTATGTGACACATCAAGGGATTGGTTGTTTATTCCTTTGGCCTTATTATAGGTTTGAGAAGTGATTTGGGGGATGTTTGGGGGGAGGAATTCGGCCATGGGACAAGGAAAAAGAGGGGGGATGGTTTTGAATGATTTCCACACCAAGACAAAAGACATGTTTAATCCTTGTCTCCTGATTTGGTCTTTTGTGTTTTGTAATGGATTGGGATGAATGGAGATGGATTCTAAGGCCATAAGGGAATGTATTTTCGTAGGTTTGAAGTAGGGAAAGGTGGGGGAATGTTATACCCCTGGATGGCTCCACCAAAATCCCAACCCCTCCCAAGTATCCAAAAGTATTTTATTTCCTTTTGATATCCAAAATAAAGTTTTTCCTATTCTTATTTTAGCCCAGGGCCGAAAATTAGAGTGTGTAAAATAAAATCTTTTGTTTGTTGTTATTTTCCTTTTTTTTCTAAGCCTTTTATTAAGCCAATAAAACCCTCCCTTTATTCCATTCACCCCTGGCCAAAATACACTTCACAATCCCAACATAAACACCCACAAAAGGCCAAAAACCTGACCCACCACTAGCCACTCATTCCTGCCCATATTCCCTCACAAAAAACCCAAACCTATAAATCCAAAACCACCCATTATAGCCCCCATCCCTGCTCCCTTTTCTCAGCAAACACAACCCCTCATTTTACCCAAATAATAACCTTAAAAAAACCAGGAAACAACCACTACAAACCAAACCAACCCAGCCCCATCTCTGATTTTTATTCCACTTTGGAGACATGATTCAATGGGTATTATCCCATGTTTTTGAAATAGTTGCTTCCAGGAAGTTTCCTCATGTTTTGTACTATGTATTTCCCCCTTCCCCTCTCCCTATATAATCAGGCCCTGTGGCCATTGTAAACACAATCTTTGAATATTGAAAACCATTTACTCTTTGAGTATTATTAAAATAGTGTGATGCTATTTTAGCCAAATCCCTAATTCTATATCTTAAGAGTGGTTATCTTAAGTGTGAGTTTTAGGTTCTAGATATTTAATTAAGTGTGTCATATCTTAATTAAATTCTAGATTCAAAGCCCAAGTTAGGATAAGAGTGTGTAATATCTCTTAAACACCAACTTGGTTTATCCATCCCAGATTTTCTTCCATTTCATATTCCCCCATTTCTTCTCTTAATCTCACTCTTTTCTTCCAATTAAAATACCCAAAAGAACTCCCTCATCAGCTCCATATATTTTCAGTCCATTCCACCACAAAAACACCCTTCTTCACGCCCAGAATTCTGCCAAATAATCGATTATCATTCCCCATAATCGATTATCAATCCCATTGGAAACACCTGCAGGGATCAATAGTCGATTATCCTTTCCAGATAATCGACTATCAGCTTCCCCAGAAATTCTGCAGCCTTCAGTAATCGATTGTCACTTTGTGTAAATCAATTATCTCCTGCTTCAGAACCCTAAACTCAAAACTGAATCATTTCTTGATTCCTCCTCAAAATAGCAACTCGTTTAGACCCCCGGTTCGGGTCTAACAGGGAAGGTTTTATTCAATGTAGGGAATATTAGGAAATAAAACAACACACACAAAGCAATTTTGTTTGTCCTTATCTCTTGGATTTTCAGCCATGGCTTCAAAGGGAGGAGAAGGATTTTATTTTGGTTATTAAAGGAAAATGAAATACTTTTGGATATTGACAGTTGTAGTTTTTCGGGTAGTAAACCTTCCTAGTAAAGGGTTAGTTTTCTCTCCGAGTGTCGTATCTCTCGAGAAGTGGACGAAGGGGATTAGTTTAATTACTCTAATTAGGCGAAGATTAGGACTGGTTTACGAAAGTCTTCTCGGAACTATTATAAAAAAAGGGAGCAGAGTAAAAATAATAAATTAAGTTTACATAGTATAAGTATAGATCTGGACCTAGGGTCAAGACATCATCTGGATCTATTTTATCATATTAAATTAACAATTGGAATAATAATATTTCTATTACTACTCATCCATTTCTAGATTTGTACTTAATCCGTTGCACTTGAATATCATAGCCTTTTGGCATACAATATTTTCTCAATAAATAGCTAATTAAATCCTTCGAGTTTAATTAACTAAATAAGGCAAGAACAATAGATTAACCATTCCAACATTAATTTAACATCAAAAAATAAACAACCAAACTAGTCCGGACCCAGAGATC